ATATATATATATATATATATATATATTATTTTCAAAAATATGCTAAGAAAATTTGATGACTTAGTGGTTTAGTATTGTAGTTAGAGTGAAGGGTTATGAATTTCTTATTTTTGACATTTTTTTTATGTTTGTACTTTGTCCAACGACGTAAAATATGTTAACTTAAATTTCTTTGTTAACAGTTGTTATATCGTTGATATAAAAAGAATGTATATCTATCGATAATAAATACATTAAAATATGAAAATATCTTTTCTCAACGACTGTCAATATTGTTAGTATAAAACACTACTTTTGCTAACAACATATAATTTTCACTCATCTAGTTGATAAAAGAATTCATATTGTAACAAAATTAAAATGTCAACAACTAAAACATATTTTAAAAATAAAAAAACTTCAAAGAAATAATTTAAACCAAAACTTAAAATTAATTTTGTAATTTGTACCGCTATTTATATATATATATATATATAAGTTCCGATGAAGACTAAAATTAAAATCAAATAGTAATATTTAGTACTCATCTTCTATTTCAAAGTATTTGCTTATTTTTGTTTAAAATTATTAAGTATTCAGTATATTACCAAATTGCTTATATATATATATATAAATGAAATATTATAAATATTTAAAAATCAATTTAACTGGAAAATTTGATTTAAAAACAAAACATAAGTTAGCATATAAAATGCATTCTTTTAAAGTTTATTTTAAAAAACATTAAAAATTACTTTCATAAGTAACTTGCAAATCTTCGATCATAGAAATTAGTGATTGAGTTTGACCTTACGTGAGGTTTAGAGTTTAGGGTTTTAAGATCATGAAGTTGTGTCCTACCTTAATTTAAATTTTTTATAATAAAAAAAATTATGTTTAATATCTAAGTCTCTTTTAACAAATTTTTAATTATTTACTTTAATAATTAATAAACCCTTTTCTTTTTAAAATTTTTTCAATAAACTTATGCTAATATATGATAGGAAGAAAGTGTAAAACTAATCTATAATCTTACTATTTTTAAGAAGATTATACTAGAACATTTAATAAAATTATCTAATTTAATAACTATCTACTTATAATGTCAACCAATTAAAAATCACTTTTTATATAATTTTTTAATTAATTATTTTCAAAAGTTAATAAACTTATTATACTAATTTGTCACAGAATGTAAAACTATTCTAAAACATTACTATTTTCAAGAATAAAAACTCAAATACTTTATAATACAAATCATAAAATATGAACTATTGATGGAATATAAAACTCCAAATTTAAGGGTGTATGAGTCAAATAATGCGTTTTGTGATTTTTTAACATGTGATTCAACTCATTAAAAAAAACATAAAATTAATAATAATAATAAGTTAATTTTTATATAGTCATTTACTTTAATACTCTTTGTTACTTTTTTTTAATAACATATTTTGTGCTTTTGAGTAGATAGTATTGTAATGATACAATATATTTATTTTAAAATTTATTTTATATTAATATTGACTGTTTGAGTTCTTAATAATGTGTCAAATCAATAAATTTATTTTAATTTTTTTTTATGAATAGAAAAGAATTATTTTCAAATTTAATTTGTATCATTATTTAATTTTTTAAAAATAAAAAATTTAATTATGTTAATTATTCCAACTTATTATTCAACAAATCTGACTCACACCTAATCCATCAAATTTTGATCGATGAGATAACGAATTTATTCAAATTCAATTCAATTGACCCTTGTTCACACCCAGTCGAATAAAAAAGTTATAAAATCCTAGACATAAGAATGTAAATAAAAAGTAAATTAAAAAAAAGAAGAAGTTTTTTTTAATATTGAGCCCAATTGTGAATGTAGCCCATAAGAGAGAATTTTGGTCCAAATAGGAAAGAAAAAACAAGAACCGTGAAATTAAGACTTGACAAATGAAATGAAAGCACAGAAAGGCATATTCTGTGTGTGTTGTGTCAGCGTGTCATTTTAACTTACGAGAGAAAGAGAGAGAGAGAGTGGACTTTTGTTCCCTTTGCCTTGATTTTTGGGTCAAATAAATAAGGATGTTTTATTGGACTCACAAACCCACAACAACAACAACAACATAATAGTCATAACATCTTCTGCAACAAACACTTTCTTCCTTCACTTGTTTACTCAATTTTGAGGCCTCAATTCCGGGTAAGTAATGCTTCCGACATGCAATCTTTCTCTTCATGTTCCATTCAATTTCACTCACTTCTATTGTTCCCTTTTTTTATTCTCCCACGTTGTTAAAAATCTTAATATTCACTTAATTTGGTGCCCGATATTTTCTGTTATACCGAGGTGTGACCTGTGTGGATTTTGGGGTATTTTTTGAGACCTAAGAAATGAAATCCCTGCCCCTTCCTCTTTCCACTGGATTTGGTGGGGTTAATTTCAGACATAAAAATGTTATCTTTGTAATTGGATTGTTCAACTGATAATCAAGTAAAATATGGTAAAAGTGATCTCAAAGTAGGACCCGGAAATTGAATTTTTGTTTGAGATTTGAGCCCCCTTCAATCTGAAAATTAGTATGGCTTTAATTATGCATTTGTCTGCTTATATATACGGCGTTAAGACTCCGATTGGGAATATGTAGACATACTATTTGGTCCATCATGGGTGAATGTTTTCACTTGTATATCGTGAGTTTTATGTTGCTGCTGCTACTCATAAAAGTGAGGTTTTTGTTAACATCAGCGCTAGAGCATCTATAGGTAGAAAGTTTTTAACTTTTTATTAGGAAAGAACACATTCATTACATAGGAAAGGTAAAAGTGTAATAAATACCTTTTTTTTTTTTTTTCAATAAAAGCTTTCCGCATTTTGTTGCTTAGAACAGTGTAGATGGTAAGAAAACTGATAAAAGTTCAATAAAGGAACCCGGATGAATAGAAAATTTTGTCGACCCACTATTCATGCTGTACAGCTGTAGCTATTAATGATATTTCTGGTAACAGGGCATCTAAAAATGTGTGTTTTTGCTAATTGGTTTTTAATTATGTGTCAGGTTTGAACAGATACAAGTGCACATTGTTTGTTCAAGCCATCATTCAAGACACTCATGGAAGCAGTTAATGAAGCTAGACCTGTTTCCTCCTGAGATATAAGATAGAGGTTCACATGGTTTCTTCAGACAAAAGTGCTGATCAAAATATCCCTTCTGATAGATTGCAGCAGAGAGTGAGTCCTGATAGTGATATTACACTATCACAAGGTCATGATACTAAAAATGAACTGTCCAAACCAGAGGGAGCAACAAGCATTCCTTCTATTGTAGCTAAAAATGAAGGGAAGGATTCTGATCAAGAAGGAAGCACATGTTCTTTACCACTTGAGAAACATTTGCAGAGCCCTGATACTCTTTCACATGAATTGCCTCCATTGCAATCAAATCAGGAAAGTCCCTCTATAATACGTGAAAAGGTATCAAAAGATGGCTATAACTGGCGAAAATATGGCCAGAAACATGTAAAGGGGAATGAATTTATAAGGAGTTATTACAAGTGTACACATCCAAATTGCCAGGCAAAAAAGCAATTGCAGCAGTCAAATAATGGGCATATCACAGATTCCATTTGTATTGGTCAGCATAATCATCCTAGACCTCAATTGAACTCCACAGTATCAGTTGAGTGTGTTCTGCCTATTGTTGAACAAACACCGCCCAAACCCTCATTAGCCGATGTGGAAGGTGAGAAGTAAACTTTGTTTGTACTTGAGTTTCTCTGCTTCCATAGAAAAGATCCTAATGTATTTTATGACATCATACATGAAGACAAAACATCGATTGAGCAAGGATGTATGCCGCAACAGATCAAGCCTTTACAGTCCATTCCGACTACAAAAGTTTCGCCAGTTATTGAGTTGAAAGCAGCGCATTTACAATTGACTAAGGCAAAGAATCAGGCTCATGGCAATGAGGATCCGGAGTCAAAGCGGCTGTATGTTATATAACTCTTTTTTAAAAATTAATTGTGTTGATATATATATATATATATATATATATATATATATAGAATTAAAGGTACTTACGTTCGAGTCTTCTTTTTCTCATTGTATCTCATTTTTGCTTTATCCCTTGCTTGTGGACATGTACCCTCCAAATTTGATTCCCAAGGGGATTCACCCGGTAGAAACACTGGCGATAACCCACAGTCTTGATATTCAGCAGAACTATTTTCACCAACAATGTTGGGCAATTGAAATGGTATGTTTGAATGATATATATATATATATATATTTGTGTGTGTGTGTGATAGCTAACCTTGACTTTACTGCCATATTGATACCAAGCAGGAAGAAAAACAATAGTAATGCTGATGCCACTGGAGTTGACATGTCAACTTGTGAATCTCGTGTTGTTGTTCAGACTTCAAGTGAGGTTGATCTGGTAAATGATGGGTATCGCTGGCGCAAATATGGGCAGAAACTAGTTAAAGGGAATACAAACCCAAGGTACATGTTAGCTTTTCATTTCAAAATGCAGTCGGATTTTCTGCCAGTATTGTGTGTGCTAGAATTTGTTAATATTAATCCATAATATCTCATTCTGATTCAGATGAGCTAGTCTTTAACCTTGTCACTACAAAATAATTTCATTAGCATTCAGTCTAAAGTTCTGCTGAGTTATTCTTTGCCTTCTTGAAAGCAACAGGAAGTGGTTAAAGTAGTTTGTTCTGTATCATTTTCAAAGTGTGTTCCACATGCACATTTTGTAGGATTATAATTTGTGGTTAATACTTAAGTCTGCACACTTAGATGTCACAATTTTTATGGCTTTAACCATGATTTAGCAGTCCTAACCAGGTTTTGAAATGCTAGACAAACTCTTGAATTTTGAACATACAAGAATAATTTTATTAGAAGTCTCGTGTTTCTTTAGCATACAAAGAAAACAATGACAGTTATAATCAATGATGCTTTTGTTCTGAACCGGTATGTTGGGGATCTGCTAATGACAGTTATAAAAGAAAACTATTTTTAGATGTTTATTTGCTCTCTCTCTCTGCTCTGAGCTCACTCGAATACAGCATTCACAAATGTTTTAATTTAATGTGACTGAATTCTCTCGCTACTCTTCCAGAAGTTATTATCGGTGCTCAAATCCTGGCTGCCCTGTCAAAAAGCATGTGGAGAGGGCCTCTCATGATTCAAAAATTGTAATAACTACCTATGAGGGACAACATGATCACGAAATCCCCCCTGCAAGGACTGTCACTCACAATGCAGCTACAAATACTCACACAACAACCACTAATGGCGAGGCAGGGACCAAATCTGGAGGTAATACTGTTTTTGTTGATACAGGGGAATGCAGCGACCTGGACTCAGTGAGTAGATTAACCGAGCAACTAAATGACAAGTCAAATACTAAGTCAAAGGACGGTGATAAGCTTGAGTTTCGTGTGATCAGCCTTTCTAACGAGGGTCCTGAAATTAAATTTAGCAAGCAACAGCAACAAAAAGATAACTCAGGTGCTAAAAACAATTCTGTCAGCAATGACATCGTATGCCATTCAAGTTCTGGAGTTCCGTGTAGATCAAATGAACAGCTGGAAGATGAGGTAAAAACTATATCAGAAGGAAGTAAGGATTGCCTTAATGTGGTTGCTGTTTGTGATACTCCTAGTACAGAAAATGAATTTAATAAGCAATCAGCAGCTGATGCGGAACCCGTCCAAAGCTAAAATTTGCAATATTTTTCGAAGCTGCAGCTTGTTACAGAAGAGTATAAATATTTGGCAATGACATAGGCTTTACAGATATATTGTGGGATTATGATTCCTATTTATACTCTAACCTTCACTTTACTCTTCTACCTCTTTCTTCTTTGGGCAACTTGAATAAATATGCAAATCACAATTAATACTACATTGAATATTATAACTTGTATACCATTATTATTAGAGTTAAATAAGATTTACATTTCATACACATGTATCTAACATTCTAATATATTGTTGAACATACTCAGTTATTCTCATGTAATTCTTGATTTGTGCCTCCCAATGCTTTAATCTTCCTTAATGTAAATTTAGAAAATGCATTGCAGAATTGTAGTTGATGTAGTGATTTAGGTTCATTCTCTTATGTTATGTTCGATGCCCGACTGAATAGAACAGGATATTGGATTGTTATTTTATTATTCATCTAAGGGGGAAAAAAAGAAAACTATTCTGTGGATTGAAACCTGGAGGCGGTTCACATAAACAGCCACTCCTCTTATACTTAGTCCAAGTACATGGGAAAACCAATTGATGTCTAGTTGGAGGATAACAAAGAATTTTATGGGTTCATTATGTTTATTTCTCATTCTTGGTGCAGTCTATGCTTTTGGGAGATAATCTGGGGGTCTATTGTGAGAGATTTCTTTATAACATTTTTTTTTGGAGTTTTGCCACTTCTACTGAATTAAAAAAGAGAAAGACTTAAAAGCCAGAGAAGACATTCCTGTAAAATTATTTATATTTTATATAACTAGTTGGATACTAAAACCTTAAGGATAGCTTAGAATCCCCTTTCTAATTTATGCAATTCTCCTATTTGGCATTGGTTTTATTTTGTCAAGTCCACCTTTACAAGTCATGTTCGAGCAAGTCAGCTTGCAAGAAATTCTTTCTTCCTTCACAAAAAGACACATGCGAATGTTTAGGTCCACTAATGATGCAAGTCACATCCTCATTTCAATGATATAATATGTTCCTGTAAAAAGAAAATTCTTTCTGTATAATGGCACAAGAATTTCCCGTCCACCAGAGCAATGATCACTTCGACACAAACCCTCCCCTCGAGTACGCAGACCTAGGACCCATGAATGAAAGGAGTAATTGTGCAAAGTTAATTCAAGTTCTCATTGTCTCTCCTCTCCCCCACACAATAAAGATAAATTTCATCAAATTTTAAACAATCTGATACAGTTATGTTATTTTCTATCAGTAAATTACTACTTCTCTTAATTAATGAAACTTCGTGGACTATTTTATTAATTTAAATTTCACACTTATGGTAAAATATCTATTATCTTTTAATGTTAATGTACAGTAATGTTTGATAACAAGGATAACAAAGCTACGAAAAGTCACTCCTGATCCTCTAGCAAATCACTTTTCCCAATCATCAGGCCAAAATCATGATGTTTGAGTATTGGAGTGCTCAAAATTCAGGGACCCAAAAAAATTATAAAATGCAAGTTTAATGTTGCTTTTAAAGAAAATTTTATAGCTACAATTTGGATTGAAATTATTCAAACAACGATAATGGACAATTAGATTGGATTTAATGTTGAGGTCTTTTTCATTAACTTCTACAAAGTAATGGAACAGAAAAAGAAGAGAAACAGATTCTGCTTTGTCCTCCCTAAAACTTTCAAGAGTCACATATTGCTTAGTTCTCATTTCCAAGCGCAAGAAGCCACCAAATTTCTATTCATCCAACCCAGATAAAGAGCTCCATCTCTCTCTACAAGTCTATATCTATCACTGTAGTTCTCAAGCAATTTCTTGATTGTACCATTCACCAATGAACTTAAAGGGTATGGAGTGAAACCTGCCATTGTAAATCTTGACCTCCACTTCCCAAGCAGTTCATGGCGTTCCACTCTCTCAGCCCCTTCACATGCTATGATGTTAACCAAGTCTCTTGCCAAACAATGCTGCTCAACATTGATTCTCTCTTTATGATCTCTGGGAAGAGTCACATCTATTGACTCAAACATTGCTGTGTAATATTCCAGAGTTTCAAGGAAACGTGGAAAGAAGGCAGATGTGTTTGTATTAGATTCTTGTTCAACAAGCGTCACCACCTTTGGCGATAGGCTCCTAACTAATCTCAACAGCCTATCCCTGTGATTCTGAGTACTCACACTTTCATCTGGCATGTGATGTAGCATGAATGCAAAATTTACAGCCAGAGCTTCTCCTGGTCGAACTCCAAGGTTATGTAGTTTAACATCACAACCAGAGATAGCTGCAGCATGAAATTCAAATGGCACCTTAAAATGTTCAGCAAGCTTTGATAACCTCCTCCCCACTATGTGTAGTCCACCACCACGGGCATAAGCTGATGTTGAATCGTCAATACCTGTAATCCTGATGTGTGGTGGCCCGCCAGGTCTAGCTGCAAAAGCCTGAATTAAAGTGATCCACTGACTTCCTTGAGCAATTTGGAAATCAATTATGTGAACTCTGTCTTCATCTTTCATAGCTTCTGCAATGGCTCCATTTGCAGACATGTACCCAAATTTGAAGTAGGGGCAAACCTCATACAATATGTGCATGTAGGAGAGAAGCTCAGCACTCTCTGGTTCTTTGCATCTTAAAGATTTGTATATTGAACTCCCTGAGGCAGCCAATCGTGCCACAAGTCCTTCCAACATGTATGCTCCCAACCGTTGAATTGGATCACCGGAAACTGACACCATCTGCCTTAATTCATCCATCAGCCATTGTGCCATTAGCAAATCATTGTCAGCAACGGCATTGGCACATGAAATAAGGATGTGCCTTAGGTTTTTGCTAGAAATTGCCACCATTGTTTGTCTCCAACTATCTGTCTCAAGTGAAGCAAAGTTGACTCCATTGCTGATGGCACTGTCATAACTATCAAGATTATCAGAGTCAGGGCCAAGCATTACACTTTCCAACTCTCTCAGCTTGTGCTTGAAGCTGCTTAAATCATCGGTTATGCAGGATCCGCTCATAGGAGAGCCATAGGTATTCTCAGGGGAATGATACTGGTCAGCTGGATATGAATGAGAATCTTGCTGTGATATGGGACTACCATTAGGTGAAAAACTAACAGTTGAAGGAGAGTTGTAAAGAGTGAAACTGCCACACACAGAAGATGATTCCAATGTGCAGTAAAGTTCAGAAGAACTTGGGGTGGAAAAGTGGGTTCCATGACCTCCATCATGGTAGTAAAGCTGTTGATTTAGAGTCCGATACTGCGGCAAGCAGTAGGTCTCAATTTGTTGTTGTAATGGTTGATAGTACATACTTGAACTTCTATGTTGCTCTGATGCCTGCATTGTAGTAGCAAATGATCTCTTCCAGAAGCAGAACAATGGACAATAGTGGCCTAGAGACAGCTGTTAATTGATAGTCATGGCAACAAAACTGACATAGTCCTGAATTGTTCAGGTTCTCTCTTCTGACAGGAGATAAGCCACAGATTTGACATAATCTTGTGTCTGCATGGAAAAATGGAAGTATTGTGTTATCATACCATCAATTTTCAACTCCTGTATACCGAAGGTATGTTTAAATAAACTTCTTAAAAAATACGTAGAAGAAAATGGAAAAAAAAATGAAATTAATTTTTTCATAAACTAAAATTAATTTGTATAAACTAACTTAAAAAATCTCTTTCATATTGATTTCTCCAAAAACTCTTTTTTTAAGTTATATATAAATTATTTTAGTTCATAAAGAAGATAATTTCATTTATTTTCTTCTCCTGTAGGTGCTTTTAAAAAAAACAATTATTCATACATGCATAGAATAGAATAGCATCTTAAAAAAATTTATTCAAACATCCGTCGAATAGAATAGCATGGACTTTCAATTTGCATACAATGAATAGAGGAGATAGAAAGCAACGGCTGAAATATTCAGTTGATAGGAACCAGAATACAGGACAACTTTTTCATGTCTCAAAGAAATTAAGCACTCTTTAGAGTCAGATCACTGTTAACATTAGTCTACTTTTTCTCCTTCTTCTACCGTGTTATCAACAACTTGACTCTCAGACCAAGTCAAACACCTCAGGTCAGAGCACTAACCAAAATTAATTAATGAGGATTTTCACGACTCTTTCATAAATGAACAATTCTAAAGATTACTAATTTTTTCTGTACTAAAAAAGAAAGACAAGTACTAAAAGATTTCCAGAATTATACAAAGAGGAAGAGAATAGATATTCAGCAAGAGAAAGGGAATGATCCAAACATGAGCGTCTAATTTCCGTTAAAAAAATTCAAAAGATAGGACATGCAAAAATGTACATGACCCTACATATTGTATTGAATTAGTTGTCATTTGAAAGAAATTAAACATTCTAAACAACTCCAGAATTTACTGAAAAATCTTCAGCCAAATCTAATAAAAAATATAATGATTATAAAACACTTAAACATCGTTAAGAAAATTTCTAATTCTGCTTGATTAACTCATTTAAGTTTTGAACTTGACTGAGCTGAAAAGAAGAAAGCATGAATGTCAGTCAAAAAAGATGCACAAAGCACAAAAGCTGTAACAGCAAATGGGGAAGTATTTTTTTTTTTTCAGAGTTTGATGAAGTTACATAGATATTCTTACTATATAAAACAAGTTTAATCAAATCATCCTCTATACAGTACTAACAAATAAATCTTTACAAAATTTGTGCAATAAGCAAATCGATTAACAACAAAATGCACATCAAATCAAAGATCACATCTCATTGCATGAATTGGTTAAGAATCAATTAAAGATTAGAAAAAGGGAGATAAGACATTTCTGCAAAAACCATTCACATCAAAAGCAGAAATGCTAAAACACTAGAACTCAAAGGTTCACCACATGCAAGAAGTATGAGCATAATATACCTTACTTCACCAACCTTCTTGAATTGAACCTTGTAAATCATTAAAGAACAACAAAACCGAAGCAAATTTTCAAGAAAAATATAAGGCCATGAAATGACTTTAATTTGAGTATTTTTTTAAAAATAAACCAGTTGCTTACCAAGTTTAGAGGAAATTTTGAAGTTGGAAAACCACAGTGGATTAGAATCTCAGAGCACGAGTGAGTGTAGAAGACAAGACTATTTCAGTGGAGAAAAAACGATGACAGTGGCACATAAAATAATGAAGGGGAAATTGCCCTTCCATTATTATAGAAACTACACAGAAACCATTGGTAGGTGTTAATGTTATTATGATGCTCGGTTGCAACTCTTTTTAACTGAAATGACAGGAATAACCCCTGTTAGCAGCATGTTTGGTCAAATACAGCCATCAATTGCCACCCTTAAAAATGTCTCACAATCACACGTGGCATGCTCTGAGGTGAGTTAGCATGAGGCGCTTCACTTCAATTTCCTTTTTAGTCCATTTTCTTACTTATCGATTCATTTTTTTCTTAGACTATTAATATCTCTCTTTTCAAAAGAAACTATTATATAGTACAATAAAACATAAAAAAATACTTGCATGTTATTATTATTATTTTTTTTTATACTTGAGTACCATACATCCAAATTTAAATGTGTACTATTACCAAAATCATCAGTACTTAGTTTTTTGAGCACCCCACCACCTATATGATTGAATTGACAAAATGAATTTCTAGCTTTGATGTCAATTTGGTGATTAAAGACATCAACATACAGAAGCACACTTACATATGCAATGTATACATTAATTGTTGTGTCAGATCACGTGATGCTGCTACTACTTCAACGATCAGTAATTTTGTCATTTAATTCGAATCAAAATAATATCAAATGCTATATTAAACGGTTCATAATCATAGAATGTTTATCATTTAATGAAATCCAAAAAAATCAAATAATTTTCACTGTTTGGCAACTGTTTAACAAGATTCTTATTATATGTTTACTCTTATATTTCTGTGGTTTTTGTAAATTACTCGTGTATTTCTCTTATTTCACAACATGAAAATCATTGCTAATTAGGATATTATTGAATAGTATTAGTTTACATCAAACTCAATCACTAAAAAAAAAATATTTATAAAGTAAGAATCTCACATATATACATATGATTAGTGAATATAAGATTTTTAACTTTAAAAATTAGATATTTAAAATGTGAAATTTATTAAATATTATAATTCAATAACAACTTATAATAATTAATATAATAAATTTAACAATAATTAATAATCATTAAAATAGATTTTAATATCATCTTAAAAAATAAATTTATATTTAATTTAATTTTACAAAATTGATTTATAAAATGAAAATTATTTTTTATTATATATTTTATATTAATTTATCATTAATTGATGTAACATCTAAAATTTAACTTAACAACCAATGATAAAAAAAAAAATATCACCTAACAAACTCAAAATTATTTAAAGTAACAACTCCAAATAATAAGAATTAGTGTATACATTAATTTATAATTATTGTACACAAATATATACAATAACACTAATGACTAGGTTTGAATGTTTATATGAGTGTATATCCATCCAGGGAGGTTTAGCTGGACTGTATCTCTTGCATGACATGTATAGAAAATGACATGCTCTATCTAAAAAAAATTGTATTGTTAATATTATAAGGTGTTATGAAAGTTTTTTTTGTAAAGGTTTTGAAAAACAGTGTATTTTTCTTTCTCTTGCTGTTTGTCATAGGTGGACAGTACACGGGTAGGAAAATCTATCATTATTTGATCCCAAAACTTTGATACATTAAATATTTGAAGGTGACATGTTTAATATATCATTTATTCTACCCTGCATTAGACTTTTGTAGAGAAAAAAGAAGTGTCTACTTGCATTATATAGAAATAGTAACAAAATCTAAACTTATATTAGAATAAAATTTTATTAGTAAAAAAAATATTTATTATAAATTTTGAAAAAAAAATTCATTATATAATTGATTATTTCTTTATTCTGACTTAATTATAATTATAAGACATTATTTTTATTTATACTAGTAATTCCTTCTAAATTAATGGTTAAGATTTCACCAATACAAATTTAACTTGATAACTACAAATAACCCTCTAGAATGTTGTTTATAGATGCAAATTTACTCACAAACTTTAAACACTTCTGGATGTTGCTCTATAATTATTTTCAAAGAGTCTTTTAGAATATGTTTCTAGAATTTGAGTTTAACATGTTTTTAAAATTTGACTTTTTTTTTACAAATAAAACTAAAAATTAAGTTTATATTTCATCAACTTATCTTTAATTTGGGAAAGTTTAAGAGTTATTGTTTAGATGAAATACTGTGTTGCGGTAAGTTGTTTGAAAATTCAAGCACATATTTTTCTTTAATTTTTTCAAATGAAGCTGAGAAATAGTTTGACATGAAATTGGTGATGGAACACATAAATTAAGATGTAAAACATATTTAGCTCATGGATTCAATTACAAGATGAGAAAAAGGTAACAGTTTTCCAATGGAATTCAAGGGGTTGCAGTCGCATGAAATAAAAATTTCTCCTTTTAGTTCTTTGAGGATGGAATTAGCAAATCAAAAGCAAGAAAATAGAAATTAGAGATCAATATTGAAGTTTTAGGAGAAGATAGACCTATGAATATACGAGTCTTACACGTAACATCCCACTTTTTTTTTTTTCAGATTATGTTATGCTGTATATGAAGAGTAATTAAATGTTTCCTACTTTTTCTCACTTCACACAATTAATGGTCTAAAAATAGTTGATTTAACTTCTTTAAAGTGAAAAAAATATATATAAAGTGAGAAAACAAGGCTTCATCGGCTCTTGATTAAATTAAAATACTATGTAAACATAACTTGTTTTATTAAATCATCAAGAGTAAATACAATCTTACTTTATCACTTTACACATTTTTCATTCTAGAAGTGTCAAATAATCCGAACCTGACTTGTGCAATTAAATCTTTAAAGTATGTTCATCCTCGGAGTGACAAATCTGTTGTATTCACTAGTGGTCACAACGTTGGATCTTGTGCATGTATTAATTTGATTAGATTCATCGCTTTTTATTTAAGTGTTTCTATATTTAATCATAATTTGTATCAAATGAATGAATAAAATTTAAAGATAAAGAGCGGCGTGAGCAAATTCAGAGTTTTGGTAATTTAATGAGTACATCAATATTTTTGACTAAATTATATTGATCCGTTGTATATAAGTCATGAGTAAATGGTTGTGATTGAAAAAGGTGTCATTTCATAAATAATGACCCACACCACACGGTTGTGTTTAGAATAGAGAGAACCTTAAATTAAAGGCAATGACATCAATGATGTAAGAAGTAGTGCCTTACACTTCAGCTAACATGCACTTGATCCCTTTCCATCTAATTTAGTAATTCTAATTTTCTTTTTTAAATCTCCACATTTATTTATTTAAATATTTTTTTTTGCTTGTTGCACTTATTCTCTTTCATAATCCATTGAACTTATCTCAAAAATATCCTATTAGAATCTCGAAAGCTTTAAAATAATTACTACCTCTTATCCTAATCCACTTTGAAGTTATAATGATGTAGTTATGGAAAGTTACTAACTCAAATTATTGAAGAGTGCGCATTCCTGGATGATATCTTTCATAGTTTATAATTGCGAAAAGGATTGGACAATAACTGCAATTAGGTAGGTAAAGTGGATTTAAATAATCGGTGGTAATTAGGTTATAACCATTTTTCTAATTGGCTTTTTATAATCCCAAATGCAGAATTTCCGGTGGTTTATATTAAATTAATTATAAAAAAGTCCTATAATAATTTATTAATACAACATGTAGGGTATTTTCATTTTGTTTATTCATGTACCAATGCACCCTAGTAAGAATAGGAATAATTTAACTATTAAGAATAGGGGACGTAGGAAACATGTATCAACTTTTTGGAAGATTGTTAATAAACAATGTAATATGTTCTGCATAACTGACTTTGAATCCATCTTGTTTGAAATCCTAAATATCAAATAAACTCACTATTTTAGAAGAAAATAAAGATAAAAGACAAAGTAAAGAGCAACTCATGACTGTGTTTTTTTCCTATCTCACCCTTGCTACTATTATTTATTTTGGTCCACCATATATATATATATATCACTTTATACGCGTGCTCTTATGATATTGTGAGATCATGTTCTTCATGAAATGCTGAAAGACCTACTGCAAAAAAAAAAAAAAAAAAGACTAATTCTTTATCTAGAAACCTTAAATGAATAAAAAAGACTAATTCTTTATCTAGAAACCTTAAATGAATAAAATCCTGAAGGATTTTTGTTTTGCTATGGTCATATATTTGGTGAAACTAAGTGTCTTGTGTCAAATTATTACACGTCCATTCTTACAAATGATAAAGCTCATGAAATAGTGGATTGATGTGATTTAGCAAGTAGTTTTACCCTTTAAATATGCTTAGGAATCAAATGTAGCAAGGAACTAAGCAAGAAAAAAAGAAGAAAAAGAAGGGAATCTTGGTAATACTTTGTCCACTCCAAAGTAAGTGTGCACAATGGCCCACACCATACCTTCAATGTACCCTTTATTTGTCAATTGCTCTAATTTGGAGTTTTGTGTTTATTCTCGTGTGCGCCAGCGATTGTGTTGAAGATCTACTAAGAGAGGAAAATATTGTTTATTTGACATGTTGTGGAGTTTTTACTTAATTTAGCTTCTAGGTCAAGCGATGATGATCTTCTCTAATCTCTCTCAAATAATTTTTAATTTGCTTTTAGGGTTTGCATATGAGTTCCAGTTGGACAGAAAAGTGACCCAAGAGAAAGTGACATAAGCCATTTCGCCATCATTAATTGTTTGGACCCTAATTTGATTCCCCACATTGAGATCTCCATATCATGTCACTAATTGATGTAGAACAATTCTTTTTGTCTCGGATGAATTGGCCAAAAAAAATTGGATATCAATTAAATTGAAGCTTAAAAGATAAAGCATAAATAGATTTCTAAATTTAAATAAAAAAGACAAGTCTTAAGAACGAATTGAGATTTTATGGAAGTTGAAGATGGAGTGATTATATTAGATTTAATAAACCATCTAACACATGATCAACTAGTATAATATTATTTTAATGTAATCTTAAATTAAATTTTGAATATGTCATTATATAAAATAACATTACATAATTCTTGGTGAATTGTTTTATTGACCTCTTGAAGTTTGGATGGAGTTGTAGATGTTCTTTGCT